AATTGAGTATAATATTCATGTATATATTTAGCAAGTATAACTATGATTTAGCCGACAATCGGACTAGTGATCCTACCCTAAGCCCACAACCAAACAAGGAACAGGATTCAAGATATTTAGCAATAGTCCTAAGTACGTTAAAGCATACTTATACATAAATATATAACTGAATACGATTTTGATAATTAACAGCAATCTAAAATAGTTTAAAATAGTTTTTGAAATGATTTTAACAACTTATAAAAAGCATAAGAAATCCTTTGTTTGTTTTCACATGTAAATGTTAACACAATTTTATTGTGTTCTACTTGTATTCCCCCCCTAAAAGCATTTAAAAAGGTAAATTGTAGGGGTATGAACTCACCTTAAGTGAGTGATTCGTTTGGATGTTCGATATAGGATGATTGATTCCACAAGTTAGATCCCGAGACAAAACAAGTCCTATAATGCATTTCACGCGATATATAGGCATGAAACTAATGAGTATAACCTCAAAGGTGTAAAGGAAACAACCTATGATGTAAGGAACACTTACAAAAGAAGTGTTAGAACCAAAATCAAGCAACTGCTTGGAGTTCACGGCTGGCTTCGGGGTTCACGGCCCACCTTCGGTGTTCACGGCCGCAAAGGGTTTTCGGCCCTTGAAGATTCAAGTGTTTTCGGCTGGAACTCAGTGTGTCTTCTTGGTGTTTCTTGGTGAAATGAAGAAGATGTAGGCGTTCACGGCCGTAAACTCAAAAATGAAGGGTGATTGATTATGAAGAGAAGAACACTAGATGTTCTTAAATAAGATCCGGAGGTGGATTGGATGATCTTCGGATGATAGATGAGAGAAAAAACTTGGGTTTTCGGTTGAAGGCTTTGAGTGAAAATGATTGAGTTTGCGGCTAGAAATGTAGAACTGAGTTGGGAGCCCCAAACTCGTCGAGTAGAAAGGCCTCAACTCGTCGAGTAGAGATCATAAGGGACGCACATTTTAAGTGACCTACTCGACGAGTTGGGAGGCCTCAACTCGACGAGTAGGCTGGCAGATATGAAACCCTAATTTCTGGGGTTTGCATGCTATTTAAACACCTTGACCTCAAGGTGTTGGCCTTATTTCCAGCCTCCACTGTCCAAAACCCTAATGCTATTTTGAGTGTTTGTGAGCCATTTCAAGTGTTATAGTGTGTGTATTGAAGCCATTGGAAGAAGGAAAAGCTTGAGGACACAAGAAGGAGCTTATAGATCCAGAACCCTTGCCTCATCCACAACATTTTGCTATATAAAGCTTGAACCTTACCTTGTGGTCATTTAGATCTCCATTTTGGAGTTCCTTGCTTGTTTTTGGTCCAAATGATATGATTATTGGGATTTGGATGTCCCAAGTGAAGAACAATTCAGATCTAGGGTCTTAAGGGGTTTTCATGGCATAAGGTTGCCAACTTTATGGCCACGGAAGTCCCATGCAACCTTTAAACCATTATTTTGGTCTTTTGAAGCTTCTAATGTCCATGCATGTGGATAAAGTTAAAGGCTTTACATGATCATTTAGTCCCTAGAGTCCAGATCTATGACCTCATGGTCTATCTTGTAGTTTTGGTTGCTTTTGGATCAAGACCTTGGCCTTTTTGGGTTAGGGTCAGAGGCTATTTATTCTATAGTGGGTTTTAATGGGAAAAGTTGGAAACTTTACCCTCCTAGATGTATTTTCGGCCCAGATCTAGAATATGGGACTTGGATTTGAAGATTTAGGGCTTAATGCATTAAGAAGAGTTAACATACTGAAGAACACGACGAGTTGGGCTGAAGTGTCCCGATTCTGTTAAAAGGAAGAACTCGACGAGTTGATTCGAAAAAGCACGATTCTGAGATTTATGGGAACTTGGCGAGTTAAAGGATAACTCGACGAGTTGAGTAAACTTGGAGCGTTGACTTTGACTTTGACTATAGTTGACCCTAAAGGGTTATGAGTATGAAATGGTATCTAAGGGGTTGTTTTGGTTCAGGGAGTGAGTAGAGCTGATTCCGGGGAAGAGACGTTTCAGCTATCATCCGACATTGGAGGTGAGTTTTCCTCCTGTTTAAACGGGTCGAAGGCACCAATGTCGGCCATTATTTATGACTGTATGTATTTCGGACTAAGGTCCGATGCCAGGCGGTGCCTGGTGAATGTTTATATGTTTTCCAGATTACGATCCGATGTCGGGCGGTGCCCGAGGAATATTTTTATGCTTGATGTCTTCGTGATTCTTGCATGTGTCTATATTTGTATGCTTCCGGATTTTGGTCCGATGCCGGGCGATTCTCGAGGAATGTTTGTATGCTTTCCGGATTTCGGTCTGATGTCGGGCGGTTCCCGAGGAATGTTTATATGTTTAGGTTATGTGATTATTCTATGTGTATTGTTGATATATTTATATGTATACCGAGCTTTGCTCGATGTCGGGCGGGGCCCGATGTCGGACACTGTCCGATGCCGAGAGAGGCCCGATGTCTGGCGGGGCCCGATGAAGGGGCGGGGCCCACGATATGTTTTTTATGTGATTATGTGATTATGTGTATGTTATGTGGTAGTTTGGGGAGACTCACTAAGCTTCGTGCTTACAGTTTTTAGTTTTGGTTTCAGGTACTTCCGGTAGCAAAGGGAAGGGCTCGGGATGACTGCATTGCACACACCATGATGTTTTAGCCTGGGATGCTTACTCTGATATATTTGACATGTTTTTAATATGGATACTCTGATTGTGATGTTTTGAATACTTTGACTTATGTTTTGACGGATGTTTGATAACTATGGTTTTATTTAATAATTAAAAATGAAAATTTTGGTCATGAATTTTTGGATATTTTAGTGTGACCTTACAATCACATAAGATTAAAAAAACATATTCAATTCTAAATACATAAATAATTTAAAAAAAAAACAATGAATTACTTACATCATCATAACTAATTAAATAAGTATTTAAAAGAAAAATTACCTAAAAAACTGTAGTTTTGGTTTTGATGACTTGAATGGTCAACATCTTCATCAACATCTTCAATACTCTCAACAAAAGTAATAATTTGATCTTCATTTCGAAAAAATTCACATTATCGCTTGTAAAAGACATTGTCAAACAACAAAACCTATCATTAACAACATAAACATCTATTATTACATAGATATTAATAATATATGATTTACAACACTATAATATAAAATGTAAATGTTCATAAGATATGCTAATCAAATATGATTGAATATATTTGTGTATATAAAACATAGTAATCATATATGATTTTTATCATAATTAAAACATTTATGATTATAACATATATTAATCATATATGATTTAAAACATTGTATTGTAGTTTATAACAAATATCAATCGCATATGATTTTCTCAATGATCTACTTCTACAATAGCTAAGCATAAACTGTTAATAAAAGATCTTAATCACATGTGATTGAAATAATACGATTTTAAACATATACTAATATGCTTTTTGAATGTTTTAGGTTTTTCTGCAAGCATAAATCACGATTATTAGCTTCATACTCCATAATTTCGATTTATACTTCATAAATGCAATTACAATGCAAGAATCGACGTTTAATGATCAAAATAAATTCTGCAAAGTGACAATTTTTACCTTTTTAATGAACAAGATATTTAACCTAACTGCTTTTGAACTTAAAACTTTCGATTTATACTTCATAAATGCAGTTACAATGCAACAATCGACGTTTAATGATCAAAATAAGTTCTGCAAAGTGAACATTTTTAATTATTTTTATGAACAATATGTTAAACATAACTCCTTTCGAACTCAAAACGTTAAATAACTTATTCGATTACTAGAATAGATGAAATAAATACAAATCCGAGTGTTTAATAATAATAATAAAAAGTTAAACAAAGTGAAGATTTTTACCTTTTGATAGAACGAACTGTTAGACCTAACTTCTTCAATGACGATGCAATTACTTCTTCTATAAGAAACGACGAACAAAACACAATGAATTTAGGAACATAAATCGTTGAGATTTAGAAGCAATTTCGTAAAAATCGTAACAAATCACTATGTTCTCAATGGATAGTCTCAACAAGAGTTACGTCAAACATGGAAACAAAATCAGATGAAAAATCGTTCATAAGAGCAAAGTTACGGAAATACCCCTGAAGCTAATTAGAAAAAGGAACGCGTGTGTCTTGGAGCTCATAGGGTAATTTTTGTTCTCAGATGTTCTCAATTTAAAAAATGTTCTCATTTGAACATATATATATATATATATATATATATATATATATATATATATATATATATATATATATACAAATGGGTTCTGGCGGATACCCAGTGGATATCAGTTCCGAAAAAATAAGAACCGGAACTGGAACTGGAACCGCTTAAAGCGGTTCCAAAACTTTAGGAACTGGAACCGCCGGTTCCAATGTGGTTTCGGTTCCGAAAACAGAAACCATGTTCCAATACTCACCCCTAATTACCGTACCATAATTTCTCAATTGATACGGTACTAAAAACCAAACATGTTAACTACCAAATATATTAGTTACCAATATTCATGATTCAGATGGTAACATGTTTGTTGGTTTTTTGTGATACATATTTGCTGGTCTTGGTTGCATATATATAGATAATTAGATATCAAATATATAGAGACACAAACTATACAAAGTGCATATACACAACATAAAATAAACATAACTGAAACAGTAATGAAGTAAAGCTAATATTTAACATGGTCTATTTCTTTCTTTTCTTTTTCTAATAATCATAATGGAGTAAAACAGCAATGAACCACTTCCAATTGCAATTCTGAAACTAAACATAAATACATAATAACAAGATAAGAAACATTCACAAGTACCATATACCAAGCATTACCGATATCACACACCTTCTCTCCTATATTCACAATCAATACTCTTGTTCGTTCAAGCAATGGTAATTGAGAAAGAAAAAAAAGTAAATAAAAATCAAGCAGCTGTTCTTTATACACTTATCAAACAGCTGAATCTCCTTTTCACAAAAGGAAAAAAAAATAAACACGCAACAATTTGGAGATGAAATAAATAAATTAATGGAGTTCCATTATTTTGCAGCCCTGAAAAGCTGACTTCCAAGGGTCACAACGGGTGTTCCTTCCCCCATAATAGTTGTCAAGCTCATTTCTTTTTCGAGTAGTCGATCCAATTCCATTACCACATAACTCATTGCAGGCCGTCTCTCACTGGAAACCTCCACACATCCAATTATCAACCCAATGTACTCTTCCATACCTTCTGTTGTGAAGCTGTTCCCAATTTGTGGATCAATAACAACACTTGACATTGTTCCTTCTTCTTGATGATTTTGCACCCATTCCACAAGATTCTGGTTGGAGTCTGAAGATATCAATCCCACGGCTTCTTTCCCGCTTACCAACTCCAGCAAGAACACACCAAAGCTGTAGACATCACTCTTTTCAGAGAAGCGTCTGAACTCCCTCACCCTATACCAGACACAGACACAGACACAGATTCAGCAAAATGCTGCAGGAATTTGAGAGTAACAAACAAACAAACAAAGCCATGGATGAAAAGTAGGGTATCACTCTGGAGCAAGAAAAATATCATCAGCTGTAATTTGAGAAGACGGGCCTGCTGCTGTGTCAACTCTTGATAGAAAATTCCGGACCCCCGCATCAGCTACTTTAGCTATGAAGTTCTCATCTACTAAAACATTTGCTGTTTTGAAGTCCTTATGAGTCAACCGGGGGCTGAGTGAGTGGAGGTGAGCCAGACCTGAACATATATATGACACATATAATTAAGGACTAAGGAGCAAAATGTATATAATAACTTAACAGCTCAAATCATTTAACTCATAAAAGAATCTGCATTTTATCTATAGAAACAAACCAAACCAAAACAAAAAACAAAAAAAAAAACAAAAAACAAAAGATGAACTAATACCAGGAAAGCCAAAAATGCTCACTGATTTTGCAGAGGATCACCTTTAGCTGCCCCAAGAGCTATTGAAAGCCTGTGTTTGAATTCAAGCTTCTCTTTAGTAACGTGCTCCCCAGCCCCCCCTGCAGGTTGAAAATTGAAATCATGGAAGTTTATGGATGGATGGATGGATGAATTAAAAAGTAATAATAATATGAATGTATATATATATATATATATATATTACCATACAGGTGGACCGAAACACTTCCATTAGGCACATACTCGTATACAAGAATCTGTTGATCATTTGCCTGGCAGTAACCTAGAAGAGTCACAATATTCCGGTGCTGAATTGATGCCAGATATCTCACCTGAAACAAGTTTAAATCACTCACATAACATATTTCAACTTCACAAATCAAATGAATGAATGAATCTTTTTACCTCTTCAATGAAGTCGTTACTAAAGGGAGCAGGTCGCCTTTTAATGGCTACTAGCATACCATCATCAAGTAAGCCCTTGTACACCTCCCCAAATTTTCCTTCCCCAATCAAACTTTTGTCACTAAAATTCTTTGTAGCCGAACACAATTCTTCAATCTTAAACACCCTTGTTTCTCGGATCACCAATTCCACCCCCTGACCCGGAGGTCTTCCACCACCTGGATTGTATATACATATTACAATCGGTTAATATTTTAAATTAATTGATAAACAAGCAATCACAAAAGAAAAGTGACCTTGAGATGGATCAGAAGAGCCCGTCTCTGAAGTTCTAGAAACACTCCTGTTATTACAAAGGAAGAACCATGTGACTAAAATCACCACCCCAAGCAAAGCCACAGCTCCTGCAGCTCCTCCGACTATTGCTGCAAGAGTCCTTGACATTTGGTATGAGAACCTTGTCGACTTTTATTCAGCTATGTACAAGTTACTACTTGGCTTGCTCCCTGCATATATACATATCAAACATATCCCATCGGATGTGCCTTAATAACACACAACAAAAATAAGAAGAAGAATGATGTAGGAATGAGAGATGAAATCATTGCTTTGACTCAATTGATACAGCGAATTATATGGATGAATATGACAGTAGTTTATCAACAAGTGTAGACTGGTAAAGTACAATGCCTATATACATATGCCAGTTCTGGTAGTTGGTGGCTCTAAATTATCAAGCAGAAATGAATCATTAATTATATAAACAATGAAGGAAAAGTAATACCCAAACTGCTGAGGGCTGGAAGAATAATAGCTTAGCAAGATCCCTAAAAGTAAAAGACCCAATGAAATTGCTCAGATCACAGACATCAATTTCTGAATCAAGAATTAGTAGGCATTGGAGTAACCAATCAGCCGAGTACTTCCAGTCGGTTGTAAAGTAACGGATGAATGATTGGGGAATGCGGCTGTAAAGGGATCGGGATACCGAGCTATTAATAATACATACATACATACATACGGGACTAGTTTGAGCTTAGAGATGAATTTAGAATTGAATTAAAGAAACGGAGGGGGGAAGAAGACCATCATCGCCGTACTTTCGTCTCATCAGAGAAACAATGCCGACAGAAAGTGACCTCGCGCCGACACAGACACACACATTCGAAATCCAACTCAAAGGAATATATATTATATATTTTTCAAAAATAATAAATAAAAGAAACAATCCAGCAAGGGAAATTACAGTGAAGAAAAAAAATTTGATTTTTGTCGCTAATTAGCAATGAATCATCAACTCGTACTTATGAATCTTTTCAGTAAATGAAAAACGAGAATGACGATCCCAAGGTGAAAAGAGCAGCACAGGAGGGAGGAAGAAGAAAAATTACTTATTACAAAACCAATTACACTGCTAGGCTTGCTACTAGTAGTAGTCAGAAAATAAAGAAAAAAAGAGAGTCTGTGATGGGGGCAACTATGGGCTGTAAAGCAGTAGAATTGGGTTGTCTGGTACTCTCTACTGGTAGGAGAGTTAGTTGGAAGCTTTTGTATTATACTCCTATCTAAAATTCATTTAGAGTAAATTACATCTTCTGTCATAAATATTTTTCTTTTGCAGTTTTGGTCCTTAAATTAAAATATTCTGGTAATATTTGTAGTCCTTTAAGCGTATGATTATTTTTTCTCCATAAATAAAACTGTTCATTATTTTATTAAGCAGTTGACTTCTTTCCCCTGTTGTCTATGGCAATTGGCAAGAGGCATCTTGGTTAAGGTTAACCCACCCCGACTTCTCTTACGATTAACACTTTGCTCCCTCTTCTTTTTTCAACTTGTCCAGCAACGTCCCCTGCCCCACGCTATATGTTGGAGTTCGAGGGCTCCTATCATAAAAGATGAGATAGATACCCTTCTCCAGCTAATCAAATAATACCACCATTATTAACTCAATATACAGCAGTTGCACCACCATCTCATTTCCCCCTCAAATTTTAATTTTCATCAACTCACACCCCTAAACCACTACTACTGCCTCTTTGCATAATTATATATATAGATTAATTTGAAACCCCCGTAAGGAAAAGTACTTTGTTCCTATTGGTGAGTTTTTTAATTTTTTTTCGATTTTTTTTGGTGGATTTATTTTTAATTTTTTTCCCCTTTTGTCTTCTTCAAGATATTGGTTTCCACGTGTTTTCATGGCCAGATCCACCACCGCCATTTTAACCAATAATAATAACATTAGTGTTCCTATCCACCGCCACCACTTCATCTATCCATTTGCATCAAATCAGATATACCTTCCCACCGCTTTTTTTTTCCTTCAACGTCATTCCTACCCTTTTCCTTCCATTGTCTCTCTATAGCTACCATCGTTCCAGTTTCTTCCGCTCGACTTCTTCGTCTGGGTTTACAGTTTCAGCTCGGTTAATCCTCTCCTCTCGATCCTTTCTCACTGCCATTGCGACCACCGCCCGGTGGTCTCTCCTCCACCATTTACCCAAGATGGTTACAATGGCCGTCACCGCCACCCTACGCAGAAACCAGCTCAGCACACCGAAGAACAAGGAAACCCCCAAGCAGCGACGGAGAGCGAAGACCGCCACCTGTGTTTCATCTGTGGCGTCATCTTCCCATCGATCCGCAGCTATCGTCAGGTGAATCTCAGCTACCAACCGCATTGTAACATCATGTTTAAAATAGAATAATTAAATAATAAATCTGGAACCCCGAGACGTAATTTTATTATTATTTTATAGCCAAAATCAAATAATAATTAGCGGAGTGTTGGTTTCGGGAAGCCAAATGACGATATTTGAATCTTCGGGGGTTAAAGTGGAATATCGGGATTTAATTTGAAAAGGATTTCAGAAATTAGGGTGTGTTTGGTAAGTATTGTACCTGAAATGTAATGAATTATGAAAGATGGGGGTTATTTGGTAAATAATGGGTTGAAGTTGAAAATAATTTGTGGAGGGAGGGGCTGATTGGTAAGATTTCGGACTTGGTTGGAAGGTTTTTCAGAAGGCGGGGTTGAAATGGTAAATTCTGGATCAAAATTGAAAGAAAGAGGAGAAGGAAGGACTAATAGTGTCAATATGGAGCATAGTTTGTATGGAGCGGGTCTATAACGTTAACCCTAACCCTAACCCTAACTATTCATAGCCGCCACCTTCACTCCCTCCTATCTCCGGCGCCACCACCCGCTCGCCTATTTTTTCGATCAACAAAGATCACCGGCTGCCGCCACCTCCATTGTTGAGGTCAGAAACCACCAAGCCACAACAACCGTTGCCGACATCGCGTCCATCAGAGACCGCTGAAGCCAGCCGCCGGAGCAAATCTTTTCTACGTCGGAATAAGAGCACGAAAGTCGGGGATTAGTTGTTGTTGTGAACCACCGAAACCCTAGCCGCCGGTGACGACGTGAGCGACCGCTACCTTCTCCGCCCGTTCTTTTTCTTTTTCGTCGCGATCCTTAGCCGCACGACACGACAGTTGTGGGCGTTGTGTGGAACTCGTGTTCATATGCGTGTGTGTGTGTGTTGCTGCTGTGATTTCCCTCACTCCTCTCCATCCCTTTTAAAGCTTGTCCGAGCATTGCAGTCGCTGCCACGCGGCTGTCACCACTTCGCACCCCGACCACCGCCTAGCTGCAGCTGCTCACCGCCGCTGTTAAGTGTTCGTGTATGTGTTCTGTGTATGTATTGTGTGAGGCTTCATTTGGCCGGAACTCATGAGAACAGCCACCACCACCACCGTGAGGTGGTGGCTGCCACCATACACCACCGCCGGCCACCACAAGGTAGTTGTGTGTGTGTTTATTTTGGTATAAAGCATTGTAAAATGTAATTAGAAAGTACAATAATGAAAAGAAACTCATAACCACCACCGTAAGGTGGTGGCTGCCGCCACCAACCGCCGTGTTGGGTGGTGGTGTGTCTTGTTTGTGTTTTGATTCGTTTGGGATGCTTGGAAAAAATGGACTAGAATCATAACCACCACCGTGAGGTGGTGGCCGCCGCCGTTAGCCGCCGTTGACCACCACTACCCGAGGTGGTAGTGGGTGGTGCCCAACTAACGAAACCCTAATGCGCCTAGTGAAACCCTAATGGGCCCAATGAAGCCCTAATTAACCTAGAAGCCCAACCATTTGACTAATGGGCTAGTATGTGGGTTGGAAACCCTAATTAGGGTTTGGAAAACCCTAATGTCATGAAACCCTAATTTTGGGGATTGAGCGGGACACGCACAGGAATTATTTAATAAACCTAAAATGTTAATTAATAATCATTTGCAATTAACCTAAGTCAATATTGGACTTAATGGATTAAGTCCTTAATGGGTTAAGTAGGAACACTTAACCCTAATCGTCATTTCATGTGAAAACCCTAATTTCACTTGGGCCTTGAGTTGGGCCTTCCTATTGGGCTTTGGTGATTGGACTATTGATGGGTTATCCAAGAACAAGTAAATGGACCAAAATAATTAGATGGGCTTTAGGATAAGGCCAATGTGAAGGACTTGGGCCCAATTTGGAAAATTAGGCCATAGGTGGGCCATAATTGGGCCTTGATGATTTGTGATATTGGGCCATGGGAATACCAAGAGTTTGGACTAGAATAATTGGATGGGCCATAAGATAAGACCATGTAGAGGTCTGGGCCCAATTTGGAAAATTGGGCCATATGTTGGGCTTTGGCCCATTACTTGACTTTTGGGCCTTGGAGTGTGAGTTGGACCTTGGGCTTGGAATGTAACATCCTAAGTTCTGGAATATAAGTTCGGGGTGCTATGTGTAAATAAAGGAGTAGACTCGATGAGTAGGTGTCTTAACTCGTCGAGTCGGAGCGGGTGTTGGGCACGTGTTAAGTGACCCGACTCGCCGAGTCGGCGGCGGGACTCGACGAGTTAGTGCTGGGAAGAGAAAACCCTAAATTTTTGGGTTTGCACCCTATTTAAAGGATCTTATGTTCTCACCTTAGCCTCTTTGTTACCCCTTAAGAGTCAGTAAACCCTAAAATCGTGCGTGAGCCCTTGGTGAGAGTTTTGAGCTTTGGAAGGTGATTCTAGTGAAGGAAACTTGTAGATCAAGAAAATAGCATCAAGGAATTTGTGTAGATCTAGAATCTACTTCATCTTGGGCACATTTTGGAGGTAACAAGTCATTGCCTTGAGCTCTTCCTTTCTTGATCTATTCTTGGATTATGATTTGGGGCTATTTAGCATGTTTGGAATCCATTTCGGGTTTTAGGACTAGATCTGGGGTTGCAACTTCAGATCTAGACTTATCTTGGTCCATGGAGGCATAAAGTATCAACCCTTTAGCTTTATTGTGAGCATTATTGTCTTGAACCTTCTCTCTAACTTGTATTGAGCCAAAATAACCTTGCATACATGTAAAGTTGGAAACTTTACGTGTAAAACTAGCCCTAGAAGTCTAGATCTATGAGTTGGAAGCAGTGGGATGGACTGAAATCGTCTGAATGAGGATGACTTAAGTGAACTCGGCGAGTCTGTTCTTGGACTCGACGAGTCGGGTCACAAACCCTAACCCATCTGGTTATGATAAGGATCAGTGAGTTGAGTGGTGACTCGGTGAGTTGGACAGGCTAGGACTCGGGGATTTATGAACACAACGAGTCATGGGGTGACTCGGCGAGCTGAGTCGTGATATGAGGATTTTCTGAGTTTAGGAACTCGGCGAGTCAACGGGCTGACTCGGCGAGTAGGGTTAATCAGGAAGGCTGACTTTGACCAGGACTTTGACTTTGACCAAGAGTTGAACAGTTTGACTTCCAAGGGTATTCTGGTAATTTGGGCACTTACAGTTATGGTTTCATCAAAGTGTTAGGTGGTGGAGTTCGTGGCCGTGATCGGGGGATTTGATCGTACCTCTTCAGTTCGGCATTTCGAGGTGAGTTATCCTCACTCTATCAACAGGGTCTAAGGCACCAAGGGCGGCCCTTTTCGGATTGTGTACTTGTACTTGTTTGATGTGCTTATTGATCTGTTAAATCGGCGTCCTGGTAATTAGGACAGTATTATGTTAGTGACCTGGTTTAGGTCGGTGTCCTGGTATATAGTATAATGCTATGTCAGTGACCT